TGCGAGTTCTGGCGCACCCTGTATACTCTTACATACTCTTATATAGAATTATTAATGATAAACATGTGATGAAACGGTGTTTTGTGAGTAAATAAACAAATTTATGAATATAGTAGATCATTATTACATTACATTGTTTATTTTTCTCGTTTATTATACATTTATTTGCGTTTCAACAATTGTTATTTCCCTCCAAATACATCTAAAAGTTCAATTACTAAAACACTTTTTCAGTTGAACACATTCAGATGCTATAATTTTCATTTCACTCTTTTGAAGAAAAATATTTATCACTGATTCCTTTTGAAAAGCAATACGCGGCTATTAGTGTGACGTCAGCAAGGTACGTGACTGTACCTTTGAAGCTAAACAAATAAAAGTTTATATCTTGAATCCTGGACGTGTAGAGAGATTGTTTCTAAGGAAATAGTTGCTATGATAAATGTGTGTCGTTTCGTAATGGTTTCAACAATTGTAGTCAACATTTCTGTAATTTAATCTGTTCTAACGTCACTTTTTGTGTACGTCAAAAATATGTGTACAGCATTGCCAGAATGTTGCAAACGACAGGAGTGGATAGGTCGTACCAAAACAATTATTAGTATTTGGCTGAGAATATAAATTATTATTTGTTACAAGTAAATATAATTATCTAGTAAAAAAAATCTAGTATCAATTTGGTACTCTAGTATCACAACTGGCAACACTGTATGTTTAGCTGCAGTACAGTCGCGTCTGTGACGTCACGTCTAATAGCCCGTATATTTATTTTGCTTTGCTAATTGGAAAATAATTAAAAAATTCAATTATTGTCCACTAGTTTTCATTCAATTCATACATGTTTGTAATTTGAAATAGTAATTAGTAGATTACCTATTAAGGTGGAAAGTGCTTTATTACCAAGGCGAAATTTGATGACCAAGGCGCCAAGCAATAACCCTAAGTACGATGAAGCAACGACCATCAAGGTTTATATACTACTTTATCCACAATCGTCTCGTTTAAAGAACAGAAAGCCAATAAGGAATTTATCAAATTCTGAAAAACATGACATATACATTTCAGGTTGGAAAGTAGTTACTTCCTTATCAGTCTTCTGGTTGGGAAGTGGCTATTTCTCAACCTGAACTGAATATATTGAATATGAATAGTTCATATCAATTGTTAGAACAAGTTGAAATATCATTTTTTCCAACTTTTCACATGCGAGATAATTTGATCATTACTTTATCATAATAAAATAATAAAAAAAAACTTGTAACCTAGAAAATATTTTTGAAAACCTTTTTTTTTTTTTCAATTTTTCAATTATAAACGTAAAAAACGTACTTTTTAGTTTATCAAGTTTTTTAAAATTTCTGTTTGTTTTCAAACACTTCTTTTAAGTAAGGGTTGAAAGTTAAAAAAGGAAAATACAGAACTACCAATTTTTTATTAAATTTCTTTGAAATAGATGATTTATGTTTTGCACACATAATTTCTATGGATAATAAACTTTGATAACTTTAAGTAAGGCCATAAATACATCGATAGGGTATATTCCCGTTCCATTTTAACTTTTAACACATTTTTAATGCATACGAGATTTAATGCAAGCTAACAGACGGCTTGCCATAAAATTGTTTTTAACGCCACTAAAAAGTATGTTTTTTATGTTTATTATAGCGATCGTGTATGTGCTCACTGAAATGTGCCTGCTGTTCACTTTTTAACTTAATAAAACATCGACGTACATTCAATTTCTATTATCAAAACGTTTCGTTTATGTCCCAACCTTTTAACAGTATATCAGTCGTAGAGTTTATATGGTTGTCGGTTTGGTATTTAGCAGACCCGTCCGCGCTTTGTTTTAGTCAATCTATTAACTCCTTCACTGTGATAAGATTAGATCAGACCGGAATTTGCCGGACAAGACGTGCACATTCATTACAAAAGCCCGCAGTTTTTGGACAAGAAATTTGTATTTATTTTGTAATTAATTTCCAAAACCCGTGTCAAAATGAAACTGTTTAAAACATGCTTTGAGCAAATAAATTTAGAGTAAACAAAGTTTGTGGAAAGGACACTGATTGCCATTTATATTGCAATGTTTTTAGCTGACATATTTAATTAAAGAATATTTTTCCTCTTGTTTCAAACCAGAACCATTAGCCGCGATGTTGCGAGTTTCACAAATATACATTTATTCTTTTCAACTTTGTTTATTTTTTCACTTAGGTTTGTATACCGAAATTTTCAACAACTACTTTTAACTTGTTTTAGAATATAATATACAATAGTGTGGACCAAACTGAAGTAACGAATTGCGAGATAAATATACTGAGTGTTTCAACAACCTGCAACAGGAATAAGTGTAATTTGTTCCAGAAATTTACATGCGAGTAAGTAATTGTAATGTACATACAGAATGTCACACTTAAAAAAGGTAAGGTTAAGATACTCCGTAAAAGAAACTATTTAAGAATAATATAATCCATAAAATGACAATAAAATCTGACAAATATTACTCAGAATTAAATAAATTTTAAAAAGACCAATCGCCATTTTCAGTTTTTTTGTGATACATACCTATTAGTTGCGCCAGTTTTAAAAAAATATAACTCAATATGACTATAATTTTAAATGTGTAAATGATTAATTAATAATGTGTGAAAGCTCCAACAAAAGGTTTGCCTCTTTTGTATCGATAAAAATGAACTTGAGGATTTTAATGTTAGAGCATTAAAAGTCGATGAACGGAGAGATTGGCCTTTTCCAGGCTCAGGACCAAAAATATAGATGCAAAAAATTCCATTTTAGGATACTGAGTTGATAACTAGCCTTTACAAAGTTAGAAACAAGTCCGGTAAATGTTATCTATCGGACTCCTTTGTAACTATGTAAACGTTAATAAAATTTTTGTTTTCATAATTGTTTGTTTAACTGGAAAGTGATTGTTGTAAAAAATCTTACACAACATACGACCGGTAGCATTTTTATAATAATGTTTAGTGAAGAAAAAGTAGAGCATTTCATTTGGAAAAATGGAATTAATTATTTGAATTTCCCCAAACGTAACGTTAAATGAAAAATCAAACTTTTCTTTTTAAGATTCTTAAATACAAAGTCATCATAGTTAAAAATTGCAAATTTATTGATTTTTTAAGAATAAGGTTCAAATATAAAAAATTAAAGAAAGTTAAGTTAAGTTTTTTTTTTAACTCTCAAAAACGACTACTCTAGGTATATGAAAAGTCGATAATAACTAACATAACTCTGAGACTCCAAAAACGTAGTTCCGGTATAACCGAAAGTGCCGCCATCTTGAAAATGTTTTTAATGTGCAAGACCTAACCAATTATAGGTATCACATTCAAAACTACCTATATACCCTTTTTCATATTAATGTGCATCAAGTACGTTGTAGAAGTCTAAATGCATCATTAATTTAAAGGCTGATTTACACAAAATGTGTCAATCTGAACAAATTTAATCACATCAAATAATGACAAAAATTGCTACCCTATGTTAATTGTGTTGTTAATTTTAATTATTTTTTGCTACTTGGGGTTCACATTTATTTAAAAAAATATTTTTAGGGAAGATTGAAGTTAGGATTGTTTGAATGTTTGCATGGGTGCCACCTTAAAATGATCCCTTTCAGCGACTACTTTGATGCACATTAATTTGAAAACAAGTATATTCTTAATGTGGGGTGTAGCCGGAACATCCCTGCATACATACCGTAAAATTTATTTTTCAACAAAACCTTCCTCAGGTATGTAAACAAAATAGAACGCTTTTATTATTAGTCGCAAAATCGGGCATTCGATTTTATTTTGTGGTCGCAAAATTACATAAATGGAACATTAGCAAACATGCAACAAGAACCCATAATTGGCTTATAATTTCATAAATTTGAATTTGTAACGGAAATTTTGCCGAGGTAAATAACAGAACGACCATAATTCTGTCATTACCGACCTAAATATTCGGCTAATACTTGTGGAAACCAAAATGTACTCCCTGTAATTTATTCTTGATGATAATTTGTGGATATGTGAGCGCGTGTATCTAGGAATTCCTTTGTCCTATTGTCTCTTTTCAACACACAATGCTTTAAAAACTCGGGCAAAAGAGAAAGAATAAAGTAAAAAAAGCTTCAATATAATAAAACTAGTTCTTTTTGGGCATTTTTTGTTCACGTAAAGCTTAATTATTTAACAAACAAAACTGAACCGAGTCGAATGGAACTTGGGTTAAAGCTCGATTCAAAGAGCTTTTGCGATTGCCTCGAGTTAATGGAGAAACTCTCAAAGATCACCTGGATTGCGAAGTCGAACTGTGTATTTCTATTTGCTTGGTCGCTAAACAATAATTTCATGTACATTTCACTGCTTAATAACTTGTTAGTAAACCTATCGTAAGCTTTAACGGCATGTTTAATATCTGTTCTAAGTTTCTCGAGCACTCAACACTGATGCTTGTGAGAAAAGTAAAGTCATGTTCAAGTTTAGTGATGTCTTCTTATAATAACAAAGTTTGTCTAAAACACTGAGTAAGAGAGGTCTGTTAAATTTTTTCACCCTTTTTTAATAGGAACACAACCCAAGATAAAGAAAAAAACAATCTTGATCAAAATTTTACTTGAAGTAAAAAATGTTTAATAGATCTAGAGATGAGCTTTACGCAATCTTATCCTATACAGAAAACTTTTATAATTTATAAGAAATAAATTCATTCAAGTGATCATTTTATCCATTTACAAAATGAAGAGTTTGGATGAACTAAAACAAATTATAACTGTATTTTCCCAACCCTTCTTTTAACTGCAGACAAGCTTTGACTACGGCTTAAAATATCCTTTCTGTATTTGACGCATCTATAGAAATATTAATGAGAAAAAACTTCCTGTTTTCCACAGAATTTATGAAACTAGATTAAAAAATTACGTTGAATCTAAACTTCGTACTTAATTTTAACTTATTTCTTAACAATACCAGTTTTTCAACAGTACTTACATTATTATATTCGTCGTTGAGAAACATTTCGGGCATATGACAATCTGAAACAAAAAATAGACAGTTTTTAAAATTTCATTGAAATTCTTGTAAGATTAAAGACAGTAATGGAATTCCTACTTTTTATGTCTTCCTCAATATTTTCTAATTTATTAATATTATTCATCGTTGCGACTTCACCAAATATAAATTCCGGCATAATAACTAAAATGCTCAAATTCCAGGAATGTTTGCTAATTTGTATTTGAATATAATATTTCAAGGCGCTTGTCAAATATCGACCTAATGTTAGCGTTTAAAAATTACAAAAAATGTCTTAAATTAAGAAAACAAATAAATATAATCACTAATGCGTTAGAAGCAGAACGTAGATTACTATCGAACATCTTTTGCTGAAAGTTAATAAGTAACAATGATTAAATATTAAACAATTCGCTAATGGAAATTTTCAGAAACTGCCACAAGTGAATATAAGTATTTCAAAAGTTTTTCTCTTCTTGTTATTTTTTTATTAGGTTTAATCCTGACAAAATACAAATTTAAGATCGATTAGAGTAATAACAAAATTAACGATAAGCTCTTGATATTCAAAATTCAAATTCGGAATTGTTGGTTGAAGAGGATTAGAACCTTGCAGAGCCTCCAAGACATGTTATTAGAATGTGAACAATGACAAACGTGAATTATTGAAAGGAAACAAGAAATAAATAAAGGAAATGCCAATTCTTATTTGATTATCGCTGAATGACAAGCAATATCTATGTAATATCTTTCTTTGAGCTCCCAAAATTTGCAATAAAATTCAGCCCCAGTATCCCCTGGCAGAGTTTTAGTAATGATCAAGTTTGCTTACGTTTACGTGAGGCTTTGTCGAGCTGCATCGTGTTTTATTAAGAATGTTGATGAAGTGGTTTCTACGTGTTGAATTAAAGATGAGTTATTGATATCAAAGAGGGTTGAAAAATGTCTAGAACAGACCCCGAGAGATAACGGCTAGCATCTCTTAAATTTTACACGATTGTAAGAATAAAGAGAAGAAATTTATCACGCTGAAATACACATTCGCATTACTGAATTATTTGCACACATTAGCGATTTTTAAAAAGCCCAGTCGAATAATCCGCCAGACGCCGTGGTGTGTTTTTAACTGTAGTGTTTTACAAAAATGAAAAGTGGAAAATAGCATTTTTAAAACATTTTACCAAAGTACCTGACTGAGTATCATACATTATGATACAAGTTATTCATATTACACGTACGAGCGGTAGCACCATTACGATTATGGGCGTCAAGGGGCAGGCGGAATAGTGTTGAAAACAAAAACAAGAAGGAAGCAGAAAAATGAAAGATAGAAACATTTAGGAACAAAATCAACCAAGGGGACCAGGTATGAAAAATTATGTAATACATGAGAGAAGAACTCTAGCAAAATATCGAAACTGTCCAACTCCAAACTTCTCCAAAAAATAGCCAAGAAAACGTTGAAAGATTTAAAACGATGTTGCCTTAAGACCATCACCGTCTTGATAGAATAATTTTTTTCTCACCTGTCTGTCTCACATTTTTTAAATTCATCTGATTTCCGTTGGCGCTTTAATATGAAGAAATTTTTTGACACATCCAGTTCTTAAGCTTAAAGTGTTTAACTTCATAATATCATTTTTTCTTGTTTTGTTGTACTCTTTCTTTTTATAGTTTTTATTAGTGAAGTTATTTTTTCCTAATAATTAATAATAATTAGGTTTTTCAATAGCAACTCCCGTAACTAAGGAAAAATTCGGAATCACTGCTCTAGTACATTTAAAATTTACAAAAGCAAGACAATTTGTATTTTCATTCGATGGGTTGTCAAACTTGTTTAGCAATCATTCAATTACAATATTTTTTCTGCCGATTTATGCAGGATATTCCGACACTTTAGAAATATTGGGAGTTCTTATAATGATATACAGGATGTTCGTTTTTCGAGCTCCACCATGGGGATCTCAGTTATGATAAGAGATACGAGATCGGTTAAGTTAGAGCAAAATTACGCATTTTAATGCTGAACAATAATCTAAAAAAAAATTAATGTGTCATTTTTAGTTTTTGAATTTGTAATTTTCGTTTTTATTTTTTCAAGCGAAAACTAAAAGAACTAGATATTTTTAACCAAGACGTTCTTAAGGCACTTTTTTACAAGGAATCTGAATCTGTCATCGTATTTTACAAGGCGCTCTCGACATCAGAGTTACAACTTACAACATTCAACTTTGAATTTTCTTATGAACGCCATATTTGATTTCTGTATTTTTGTTGATGTCTCACTCGATGTGCTTATCAAAATTAAGAAAAAGCATTTTTGCGAAGAGTGCTTTGGTAAAAACACTAACAATAAAATATCATTCTGAGAAAAAAAAATAAAATATTTTTTTCTATCTTCATTCGTTACATCTTAGCAAATAGTAACAATGAATTTTGTACAAGTTTGTAGTGAAAAATTAAAAACGTGGACAATATACAGGTGCGTCAAAACTCGCGCCTCAGAGAAAAATGTCAAATACCGGGGGCAATAGGTCGCCAAAAAGTGCAGCCGAAGAAGTAATTTTTGCTTGCATAAGAAAGACTCTTAAATCCACCAATCCCAGAAGGGCAACTCAAGGTGTGGTTGAAAAATTATATCCGTTGCTAGGTTACGAAAATAATACCAATTTGCCCAGAATTTAAAAAAATAGCTAGTCTACTGTAATTTTGCGTTTGACATTTATTAATTTTCATGATGATGTGGAAATTTCTGATGAACCGACTTCTCTAAAACTTCTTCACAGGTATTGTTCCTTCTCAACTTTTTCTTCGATCTGATACAGGTTAACAAACCGATAATAGTATATTAAAGTACAAGTTGCAGAAGGTATCTATTCAAGCACAAATTTGAAATTCAGAAACGAGCCGCGAAGCGGCGAGTTGAGGAACAAATGAGTGCTTGAAGAACCTTCTGCAACAAGTGCTTTATACTACTTTTTCTATTTTGCCGTTTTATTTTATTTTATAAATTAAAAAACGAAAATTTTAATTTTTTTTCTAGAGAATTTTGCGACGGTTGGCGACATTTAGGTATGAGGAATAATTTTGCGAATAGGCGGCAGTAAGAATAAAAATAATTCTTATTTTCACATTTGAAAATGAATTGTGAAGAAAGTCCAACACTAAAATTAAATTAACGCCAACGACTTATTCCAGCACTCAAATGACGTCATTTGGGTGCTGGAATAGACTTATTCTAACACCGAAATAGAAAATTGAATTTTAGAGCTTGAAAACTATTGCATTATCCTTTTGAAACAAAGAAGCAAGTGAGAGTGAGAGACCAGAAAAACATGAAGAAGTACGCAAGTTTCTTTATCTACGTTAATGCAAAATGAACAGAAAGATGTACTTTTTATAAGAAATTGTGTTTAAATAAAACAGATTACTAATTTTAATATTAAAATTGTAGTTTTACTCTCGTATTTAGGCATTTTTGCCCAGGAGAGAAATTCTAACCTCAAAATTTATTGTTGCTTTCATCCACTCACATGAGCTTACTATAACCCCTTGGCTGCTTTTTCATTAAAAAATCCAGAAGAATGTTGCGATGTTTGTATTAGTACGAAAAATTAGCATTTTTGCTGCCAGAAAGTAAAATCCAAATGTTTTAATTCCGAGGGCATTTCAGCAACGCTTTTCGGTGAATTTGTGGGCTGGTCTGCTGGGGAATCATGTGGTCTGTCAATAATATCAACTAATTTCAACATAACGTGACTCCCTTTCTAAAAAGTACATTTTTCTGTTACTTTTGCATTAAAGTAAATAAAGAAACTTGCGTACTTCTTCATGTTTTTCTGGTCTCTCACTCTCACTTGCTTCTTTGTTTCATAAGGATAATGCAAGCTCTACAATTCAAACATTGGCTTGTTAATCTGTATCAGATCGAAGAAAAAGTTGAGAAGGAACAACACCTGTGAAGAAGTTGTAGAGAAGTCGGTTCATCAGGAATTTCTAGAATGTTTCAAAATAATTTTTCATAATTGTTAATAATAATTAAGGAGATTCCGTCTCATTATACTCGTGTACAACCTCTTCAGCGACAAAAATACTGGAAACTAGCAGGTTATGTCATCCACATCACGAAAATTAATAAATATCAAAAATTCCAGTAGACCAGCTATTTATTGAAAATTCTGGGCAAATTGGTATTATTTTCGTAACCTAGCAACGGATATAATTTTTCAATCACACCTTGAGGTGCCCTTCTGGGATTGGTGGATTTAAGAGTCTAATAACTTTCTTATGCAAGCAAAAATTACTTCTTCGGCTGCACTTTTTGGCGACCTATTGCCGCCCGCATTTGACATTTTTCTCTGGGGCGCGAGTTCTGGCGCATCCTGTATGTCATTGTCAGAACTCGCCATAGTTCTAATGTGGGATTCAGCAAACACACCCTGTATTGTATTTACGGACTCAATGCAGATGCAGTTAATCTCTTACAGTCCAAATTAATTGATTTTATGTGGCGAAACTGAACGTTTATTTTGCCAAACGCAGTGAGGTAAATAATTCAGCTGAGCCAGATAACTTCATGCGTAGTATCGGAATTTGTGTTGAGATTTTTGAAAGTGTTGCGCAGTTAATAGTGTAAAATGTCTTTTGCTGATAATCTACAAAGTACCTCTCCAAAAATTCCTAAAGCAGCAAAAGAGACAAGAAAGAGACAACATTGGTATAGTAAAAACGTTTACGCGAAAAAACAAAGTTTTTTTACTCCATATTTGAAAGGTAAATCTTTTACTTGTGTTGTTTAGTAATAAAAGAGTCACTTTTGTGACTTTTAAGGATTAAAATATTTTATTCACAATCATAAAGTAATCAAATTACCTTGCATGTGAAAAGTTGAAAAGTAGGTCATTTAAACTTTATTTAACAATTAATATTAAATATCAGGTTCAGGTTGGGAAGTTGTCACTTCTTGATCAGTTAGTATGTAATATGACAGTTCAGACTGGGAAAAGGTTACTTCCCAACCCCA